ACTGTCAATCATAGAATACTACTGGATAAGTTAGAAGCATACGGTGTAAGAGGAAAAGCCAATAATCTAATAAAAAGCTATCTTAATGGTAGAAAGCAAAAGGTCAGAATAGGTCAAAATAATACTGTATTCAGAAACATGTACACAGGAGTACCACAAGGTACAATCCTGGGTCCATTGCTGTTCATATTATACGTAAATGATTTATTGTTAAGTTTGCCTGAAAATATAGTATTTTATGCCGATGATACCGCAATTTTTTCAATTGGTAGGGATTGTAGAATCATCAATGAATAAATACCTTGAAGAGGTAGCATTATGGCTTGCATTGAATAAATTAACATTAAATATAAAGAAAACGGTATATGTTGCCTTTGGAAACTATAGTGATAGTGTTCCAAAGGAATTAAAAATAACTATAAATAAAGAAAAGATAAAAAGAGTAGATAAATGTAAATATTAAGGTATCATATTTGATTTTAAACTAAGATGGAATGAGCATATTGAGCATACTATCAATAGAACAAAATATATACTTTTTATTTTACATAAATTATCAAAAAATTATGACAACAGATACACTGTTAATGATCTACTACGCATTCTTTCATAGTAAAATATGCTATAGCAATATGGCATGGGGAGGAGCATATAAAAGCATTTTACAACTACTACAAAATCTTCAAAACAGAATACTTAAAATAATAAGTAAAAATTTTTTCCCACAAAAGAAACCAATAAATCTTACAAAAATTTTACACTGGAATGTCTCAAGTATAATTATAACGTTTTAAAAAAGATATACATAAACTCGAACAGTACTACGATACGTAAATTAATACAGCTTCCAAAAACATACAGAACTAGTAAGTAATAAAAATAATAAAATGAAGGCAATAAAAATATTTATTATGTTGCCAAATGAACTGAAAGAACTTGATATAAGTAAGAAAGCTTCTCATATATATTATTACTATTAAAACATGAACAATGATCTCAAAAACATAGATTATAAAATGGGTAAAGTTAAATAAAATGATCTGCTGGGCTTTCAGCCAAGATTCCTTTAATGGGTATCTTCCTATCTTTATAATAGAACACAACGAGTGATATTTGAGGATACACCTTCAGATACAATTAATGTTTCTTCTGGTGTTCCGCAAGGTAGTCATCTTGGCCCGATTCTGTTCTTGTTGTTTATTAACGATATCTCTTCAGTAATAGAATTCTCAAATCAAATTTTGAACTAAACGAGCCATTCCGCCGTATATGTCATGATTTTAATCCTCTTTCCAGCACATTTGACTTATCTGACTCACTTTTCAAAAGACTTTATGGTTTTCTCTTAATAAATGAAAATGTAACAATTTATTATATTGTAACTTTAGATCTTAGCTGTTGAAATTTTTGTTTCTGTAGCTGAGCAGTTTTAGATCTCAACACTTCAAAAACTCTCTTGCCTTTTCTGACTCGGCTAATTCCGCACGTATGCGGATTGCGCCCCTCGCGTCGGTTGGGCGGGAGGAGGGTAATCGTTGGGTTATTATTATTAAATAAAATGTGGTTTCTTGTTTTGGGGATTATATTTCGTTAATAAGTATATATAGATAGGACTTGATCCTGTTAGATTTTAACAGATGATTTAAGTCTATAATCTAAATAGGAATTATACCGACGTGGTTAAAATAAATATTATAATAGTATTAAAAAAATTATGTACTGTTACTTAGAACATAATAGTTTATATTAGTTTTAAGTTAGTTTTTAAGGTGAACAAGCATGGGTAAGAGAGTTTTGCCGTGCTTGCCTCGCGTCTCCAGACTGATGAACAGGAAACTCATTTTTCTCTGTCGGATTACTTTGTGATTTGTATTACTTTGTAATGTAATGTACTGTTACTCTGGTAAATAATAAATAAAATAAAAGGTTGAAGTCGAAATTGCCTCAATTATCGATTTTATGGACTGCTCCAAATTAGTCAGATTTCTGGGTTTTGTTTTGTACACCTCTTGCTTGACATAACCACATAAAAAGAAGTCTGGTGCAGTCAGGTCAGGTGACCTTGGGGCCAGCGGAAAGTGGAGTCCGAACCGGGAACCGGTAACCGGTCTTACAGTTGCTCTATTTTGATGGAGCCAAACGCTGTTAAAAGGGATACGTCTTCTCATTCAACATCTTTAAATAACGGTGCACATTGACAGTTACTCTTACACCGTTTTCTTCAAAGAAGTATGGCCAGATTACACACGTTGTTGAAACTGCGCACCACACAGTGACTCTTTCTGGGACTATTTTTGGATTTGATTCAATTCATGTACGGCAATTTTGCTTGTTTACATGCCTCATCAGACATAAACATGCAATTAATCAAAATAGACAAATCTAGAGGATATAACCAGGTTGTTATTTGAACTTTGTACAGAAACAGGTTTAAATTATCATAAATTATTCGTTGTAATGACCGCCTGCTAACTCCAAGCTGCGCCCATAAGTTGCGAGTCGAAACTCTAGGATTTGCCTGAATTGACGATGCAACAGAGCGATTGTTTCTTGAACACAAACATACGAATATCCATGGTACGGTAAACATGTTTACCAACCTTATAATGGTCCATCTACTCGGGGGAGTGCCGCCAAAATCCCGTCTGAATTCCCTTTGGACGGAAATGACGGACTGCAAAGCATGGTACCTCTGCACTATCGAAAGAGATAAAAAATGGTAAAATTAAAACCAAATATATATATTGGAAAATATAGGGCGTATTCGACCTACTTAATAATGACCGCAATACTGCCACTTTGTTACTAACTTGGTACTCTGTTGCTGATGCTCAGCTGTGAATTTGGAAGTATTTCGCTTTCAAAGGTAACATTGCCGCAGTAATTTCACAACGAACACTCCCATATTATATTTTTGCCTTCATAGTTAAATTATTTGCCATTGACTCTTAATTTAATGCAAACTTGGTAGAAATTAAAAAAAAAAACAAGTAAGGAAGGGCTAAGTTCGGATGTAACCGAACATTTTATAGTCTCGCAAAGTCAAATGGTAATCCTGTGTACCAAATAACAGTCTTGTATCTTATGTGGAGCTTAGTTATGGCAATTTTTTTTTTTTTTTGATTAATGGCGTTTTGTGGGCGTGGCAGTGGTCCGATCCATCTGCAATACCAACCGTCTTACGGTACCAAGAATCATGTGTACCAAGTTTCATAAAGATATCTCAATTGTTACTCAAGTTACAGCTTGCACGGACGGACGGACAGATGGACAGACAGTCACCCGGATTTCAACTAGTCTCTTCATCCTGATCATTTATATATATAACCCTATATCTAACTCGATTCGTTTTAGGTGATACAAACAACCGTTAGGTGAACAAAACTATTATACGCTGTAGCAACAAGTTACGAGAGTATAAAAATTATGTTCTTATTTGCAAGTTAAATTCCCTGCTGTAAAAAGAATAAAAACAAAATCTCGGAGACGAGTGTTATCATCATTACCAAGATAAAAAATAACAAGTAAGGAAGGGCTAAGTTCGGCATTTTATACTCTCGCAAAGTCAAATGGTATACTCGTTTGAGATTTCTTTGTGGATTGGCTGATATTTTCGGTAAAATGTCAACTATAGGTACTGGGGTCCACATATTCGGTACCTAGGGGCTTGAACAGTTGTGGTTCGATTTAGAGAATTTCTGGTCACAAGGTGGCATACTTTAAACATATTATTCACGCAAAGTTTTACGCCGATATAATCATTGTTGCTTGATATGCATAGTGGAAAGTGAAAGAATCAAGTGGAATTTAAAATGGTGTCATATGGAAAATAGACGTGGTTGTAATCCGATTTCACCCATTTTCGCACCATAACATAGAAATATAAAAAGAATGCTATGTATCAAATTTGGTTGAAATCGGTTAAAAAGATTTGGGTTTTCACTTAAAAGTGGGCGGTGTCACGCCCACAGTCTAATTTTGAACGCGGTTCCTATAAAGTCATCTCATACCATCCCTGAGATAAAATTTAATGTCTCTGGCGTGTTTAGTGCTTGATTTATCGCGGTTTTAGTAGTTTTTAACAGTACCTCTACATGGGGAGTGGGCGGGGTTGTCACCCTATTTCACCCATTTTCACACCGTAGTTAGAGGTGCTAAAAACATTTGCTTCCAGTGAATTTTGTTTTATAGCTTTAGCAGTTTAGGAGATATGCACATTAAACCTAATAGGGGCGAGACCACGCCCACTTAAAAAAAAAATTTTAACTGCAGATGCCCCTCCTTAATGTGATCTCGTGTACCAAATAACAGTCTTGTATCTTATTGCGGAGCTTAGTTATGACAATTTATTTGTTTTTGATTAATGGCATTTTGTGGGCGTGGCAGTGGTTCGATTACGCCCATCTGCAATACCAACCGTCTTACTGTATCAAGAAACATGTGTACCAAGTTTCATAGAGATATCTCAATTTTTACTCAAGTTACAGCTTGCACGGACGGACAGACGGACGGACGGACAGACAGTCACCCGGATTTTAACTCGTCTCTTCATCCTGATCATTTATATATACTTAACCCTGTATCTAACTCGATTAGTTTTAGGTGATACAAACAACCGTTATTTGAACAAAACTATTATACTCTGTAGCAACAGGTTGCGAGAGTATAAAAACACTAATTAATAAACCAAGATAAATTTTAAATATCAACCGAAGTACAATAAGACTTGTTACATGAACCAAAGCTACAGACAAAAGCCCCATTAAAGTGATGTATCTATTAAAAATATTATTTGAAAGCGGTAAGCAAAATCAGTAATCAGTTTCTACAGTTGGTATTTGCACGTTCGTGATATCCAGATGTGAATTTAATTGATTACAGGGATTTCTAATACACATTTTAATTGGCAACCTATACTTTTCTTGTCCTTAGTTATTATGAAAGCCCTTGACAGTACGCCACTTCCACCGTCAACCAATTTAGCAACAAATAAACTCGTATTAACTGTTCTCTCATATTTTGAACACAAATATTATATTTTTATTATTTTTTTTTCACAAAGTTTTTCATAAATCACATATGTTGTGAAAAAGTGGGGCAGTATGTGTGAGTGCGTTTCCGTTATGTAACAATTATCGATTTATTTACTTAATAATGAGAGTTTGCATGACCACCACCTTTTGCACTAGCGGATCCTGAACCAAAAGATGTTGCAGTGGCATCTGCCTTAGCGTTGGATTCACCTCCATAACTGGACGAACTCGAGCTTGAAGACGCTGAAGCAGATGAACTGGATCCCCCGTAGCCGCCTCCAAAACCACCTTGGCCTCCTGGACCTCCAAATCCACCCTGACCACCATATCCACCTTGACCTCCAAATTCTGCGCCGCCTTGATGACCACCACCGCGTCCGTGATGACCTCCACCTAATCCACCGCCTCCAGCGCTAACCTGGGCGCCAGCGTTGGCATTAGATTCGCCACCACCTCTGTGAGGCATGGCACAAGCGACAGCTACTGTAGCCAAAAGTACAGTGATCAACTTCATGATTAGATTAATTTGGTTACGGGAGTAGTAGATATAACTAACTACAAAACAAAACTAGCTTCTCTCCGTCATCCGATAGCAATTTTATAGCAAGCGAGTTAGACCAAAACAAATATTACTGCTTGTGCTGGGAGAGCAAACAGTATACAGCCAACGCCAAAAGCGACGTAAGAGATTTCACGATGATGGCACAAACAAATAAATGTTTCGAATAAGTGTGAAAAAATCGGACGCCAAAAATAGCAACAAATTACAATGAAAAAGAAATGCTCTAGTATATGAAATGCTTAAAACCAAAATAAAGGAGCAAATGAAAAAACCTCCACAAATAGCTCTTTAAACAAATCCAAAAGTTTTGTTTTATACTCGATATTGCAATTAAGGTTTATTAGCATTTTGTTTTAAAAGTAATTAAACTCAGTTATTTTCTTTAGTCATAAATTTTAGAAGAACAATTACAATAATTATAATTAATGGGCTTGTCAAACACTCATTAAAACAACTTAAACAACATTAACATAACATCTATTATATGCCCTATATTAGTATATATTTTATAAGTATATACATGTACATACATATGTATAATGAGCTTTTATTTTGCTCAAAACTCATATTTCGAACTCTTCGTAGCACTTTGTTCTTGTTTAACTGGTCACTGTTTGTCAATAAAATTCGAAAATTCCAGTCAGGCCAACAGTGTCTAATGAACTTCCAAGTGGAGTTAATGTTTTTATTATACTCACGCAACATATTGCTACAGAGTATTATAGTTTTGTTCACCTAATGGTCGTTTGTAACATCTAAAACTAATCGAGATAGATATACTGATACATATGTATGTACATAAAAATTATCAGGATGACGAGACGAGCTAAATTGCGGTTGACTGTCTGTCCAATTCGGGTCAATACTTTCCTTAGCCCCCAAATACCTAATATAAATATTTTCGAACTTCCGGTTGACTTTATACCGCATCTATCAAGCAATAGGTAAAAAATCTTAATGAAATTCCGAAAGAATCTCTTTCTAATAATAATAGTATCTTCTTGCCTCTGAATGTAAATAATGGATGCATTACTTTCTACTTTTAATTAAAATAAAAAAAATTCCGTATTTCACTTTAGAGCATAAAATGTTCGATTACACCCGAACTTAGATCTTCTTTACTTGTTGCAATTAACTTTGCGCTCTCGTAACTTCGTCTCCATATAGGCCCCAGGTGTTCAATGGGATTGAGGTCTGGACTCTGGGCACTTTTTCACGTTGTACAACAACCATTCCTTAACCACTAAAGCAGAATGGTTGGGGTCGTTATCCTGAAAAAAGCAGTAGCCACCATTTAAAATGAGTTTAGCTGCTGACGGTGCAAAATTACTTTTTAATATTACCAATTAGTAAATTCTTTACATAATTCCTTCGATGAAAACAATTTGCACCCACTGCACTTCTTTTGTTTCATTGCACCACACACCGCACAATGCAGCCTTCTCCATGCTGACAGTTTAATTAAATATTTAGCACTTACGCCATACAAATCGCCCACCATCAGATCCAAATAAATTTAATTTGAACTCATCTGTAAAACTTACAGAATCACAAAATTCGTTAACATGATGGATATACTCTTTGAAATATAGTAAAAACTTTCTCTTCGATAAGCGTGACTTGTTTCGTGGAGTTTACGCTCTAAAATTAGAAGAATCCAAGAAGTTCCAAACGGTTTGAGGATGGTATTCCAGCTTCCTCGAACTTCTTGACCTTAGCGACAGAGGATATTTTGGGGTTTTATTTGACACTCCGAGCAACTTTATTTTCAGCCTGGGCTATGAAAATTTTTGTGGGCGTTCCACTACCATCAAGTCTTCCAACTACAATAGATTTTTTCAATTTAGCAATAATTTTGTTTCTTATCAATATTTGACTGCCTGAGCCTGTAAATCTTTAGATGTTTGTTCATTCACCATTTTTTCCTCAAAAACTACAACTGCAAAAAATGAGTTCACTTGGCAAGAATACATTTTGCCCATGCTCAAATAATACCAGACAAAGATAACTATATCTACCGGCTAACTACATTGAAAGTGTTGCCAACGTAAGTGTATAAGTTTTTTTTTGGTTCTTCAAAACAGTGATATTGTAATGCTTTCCAATCGTTAACATCAAAATTGATTTATTTTTAATATATTATTGTTAAAAGTACTAAAAATATATAAGATTCTAATTGTTATTCTTTGTTGCAGTTTAAAACTGAAATACTTTTAGAGAGAAAAATCCCTTCAAAGTCAAAGCATCTCTCTGTACAAGTTTTTTTGTTTTGGTTCACTGTATAAATAACTCCAAATCTAACTCGATTAGTTTTAGGTGCTACAAACAACCGTTAAGTGAACAAACCTATTATACTCTGTAGCAGCATGTTGCAATATAAAAATTATGTGGCTCCTGAATAACAAAAGTGAATCCAAAATAACGCTGTTAGTTTTGGAACTGTTTAATAAATCTGGTCATTTAAAATACAGACTATGATCTGTAAATTCAAGTTAACCATCAAACCAAAGGTAAACCATCTTAATATAATATGTATGATTATGATAACTAAATAAGTGAATATAACCATTTTTAGTTTTCTAAATAAGTAAGTAAGAGAGTAGCGAGGAGATGTGCACGAAATAGAGTTTCACTGCACATTATTAAATAAAATAAAACAAACGGATGAATTAATTCACTATATATTTCAATAAAAAAGTTTCTCAATACAAAAGTTCATATTAAAAAAGGTTCATCCCGCCCTCACTTAATTCGTATTTATTTAATCTATTAAAGTTGTACTATACTAAGTGCTAAAAAAGCTTAGCCGAAGGACGATGAAGACGAAGATGCTGAAGCTGAAGACGAAGCACCGCCCCTACCACCACCACCAGACGAACTAGAACTTGCGGATGCTGATGATGAAGCAGAGCCACCGCCGCCACCACCACCTCGTCGAAAACCACCAGGACCTCCGAAACCACCTCCATATCCGGGACCACCGCCAAAGCCTGGACCGCCACCAAAGCCTGGACCAATACCAAAGCCTGGACCTCCACCAAAGCCAGGACCTCCACCAAAGCCGGGAGCGCCACTGAAACCAGGACCACCAAAGCCTGGACCACCACCAAAGCCAGGACGACCAACTCCGCCACTAAATCCAGGACGGCCGAATCCACCACCAAATCCACCGCCACCGAAGCCACCAAATTGTGGCAGAGAGGAAGCAGCTGCAATCAAAAGCACCATAACAAATAGAGCTTTCATGATATTACACTATTTTCGGCAAATGGGTCTGAACTAAAATAGTGTCGGATTTTTCTTGTGAGCTGCTGCGGTGCGTGCGTTTATGACTTCACAGTTCACACTAATGCTTAATGGTTACTATGCGAAAATTATTTATACTCAACCTTTGGCAGCACAACGACAACATTATTTACTCTATACAAGATTTGCAGGTATTAAATAATACCTCAACGCGCACATGAACTAGAAACGCACGCGCTCACTCTCTCGCACACCAGCCACTATGTAGTAGGCCATGATTTGAGAATGACATAATTACATACATATGTCGATAGAAATACGGCATGGAAATATTCGTGGGTTTTCTAACCAATTCGGCAAAAATCTACAAGCCGGACGGCAAATGCTGTAAGATAACAATAAACATACTCTCAAAAGTGCCACTCAATCAATAAGCATTGAAAATCGTGAATAGTTGATCTGCAAACAATGGCTAAGAAGAGTGTTCGAACATAATCGTTAGCAGCAGTGTTTTCTAATAAAGCAACTGGTGATTCCCAAATAAATATTCATCTGAAAAAAAATAACACAATCAAAAACAATTAAGAGACAATCGAATTCGTGAGGAACCGAATGTGAAACACTCTTACCATAAATGATATTTTTTTTCCATCGTTTTCTCCAAACTTGCGTTTTTTACAATAACTAACACTAATTACAGAATGACTGTGACATTAGACAACTACATTAATCAATCGACATACCGAAGTTCACATATATATATATATAACACATGGGCTGAAAATGACCGGGCCTAATAAATATCACACGGTTTTTTCTGTTCAAAATTGGCTTTATTCATCAATATAGTCTCCATCAAAAGCAACACAGCGCCGCTCCAACGTTTTAATACCACTTTTGTACAACGATTTGTCTTTTGTCTCAAAATGGGCATCAGTTTCAGTGATAACCTCTTCATTCGAGCGAAATTTCTTACCGGCGAGCATTTTTTTGAGGTCTGTGAATAACCAAAAATCGTTGGGAGCAAAAAAAATCCGGTTTGTTAGTTTAAACATGGTCAAACAATGCTCAGAATTACCAACCCGAACATTCTCAAGAACAAATGCTCATGCAATTTAAAGCGAATATGTTCTTTTGAAATCCTTACGATGTCAGCTATATCACGCAACTTCACTTTCCGATCATTCAGATCAGTTTTATGGATTTTTTATGCTGTTTGTTTTGCTGTGTCCGCTGTTTTTTGCATCATTGGAGACTCTACGACCACGTTTGATCAGCAAACCAACGTTTTATTGTAGTTTCTGATGATGTTAAATCCCCATAACACTTTTCAAGACATTGCTTTGCTTTAACCGTATTTTTTTCCCATCAAGAAGTGTAAAATTAAATTGTTTTCATCCATTGTTTCTAAAATAACAGAAGTAGCGTCACTCTTAGCACAATAGCTCGCAAACTAATGTAAATGTAAAATGTCACGGAAAGCTTTCTTTTGAAGGTTAGTACTAATTGAAAATGTGTGATGCCCGGTCATTTTCAGCCCATGTGTCATTATATTATATGTACCTATGCCTAATTAGACGGCTTCTATACACAGATTCTTTTGACCCTCGTTTTCGGCAAATTCTCTTTTGGTGTCGCTCTGTGCATTCACACGGTCAAAAAGAGTCCAGCAACTCGAGTCTAGTTTTTCTGCATGCCTTTTCACAAAATTTTCGTAAATATTTGTGCGGTTCGACTGCGCAACACTTAGAGCGTGTTGCATATTTCATTTGTATGTTGGGATGGTGGTCCCACATTTTGCTTGCAATGAATTAGCATGAATGTGGTAGAACAATATGCATAGTACCTACCCGCTTAATAGTTTCAAAGAAATACTTAAGACGGGAATTCCCTAATCCACCAGAATGTATTGAATAATCGCTACTAATATTTTCAAGGCCAAATTTATAACAGGAATTTCATAATATTTAAGTATTAAAAATTCATAATTTCTTTACTCCGTATCAAAAATTCATAATTTCTTTACTCCATAATCTATATCTTAATTTTCTCCTTATTTACAATTTTTCAAAATATTTCTATTGTTCTATGCATACATATTTGCATATTACATACAAAAAATAGATAACAGAATTGAAATTTGCGAACGAATTCATTTGAAAGCGAGCGCTTTTGCAACCATTCAAAGAATTTGAAAGTGAAAAGGAATGCTGAAAAGGGTAGCAGTGAGCTGTTACGAACAAGAACACAAAGCGGGCCACCCAAACACGAGTGGCCTTCGTCTTTCCTCGTCGTCCCCTCGCCCTCAATAAACCGGTTTGGGTTACAAAAGAATCTGTGTGTAAAAGCAGAGTTATGCAACGAAAAGTCGTTATATGTTCAAAACAATACTACTTTTTGGTTGAGATGTTGCACTGGTAAAAAACGGAACCATTGGCATGCGTACACGCCAATGCACACATATGTATATTCATTTGGTACAACATACGCATGTACTAATATACTAGAATATTTCATAGTTCGCACTAGAGTATGTGATGAACCGTTAAGCATTATCGGCACAACCATGTGTACAAACGAGTATGCAAATTGTGTAATGATCTGTAAGGTTATAACCAAGGTTGCACAATTTTTATACTCTCGCAACCTGTTGCTACAGAGTATAATAGTTTTGTTCACCTAACGGTTGTTTGTATCACCTAAAACTAATCGAGTTAGATATAGGGTTATGTATATATAAATGATCAGGATGAAGAGACGAGTTGAAATCTGGGTGACTGCCTGTCCGTCCGTCCGTCCGTCCGTGCAAGCTGTAACTTGAGTAAAAATTGAGATATCTTTATGAAACTTGGTAGACATGTTTTTTGGTACCGTGAGACGGTTGGTATTGCAGATGGGCGTAATCGAACCACTGCCACGCCCACAAAACGCCATTAATCAAAAACAAATAAATTTCCATAACTAAGCTCCGCAATAAGATACAAGACTGTTATTTAGTAAACAGGATCACATTAGGGAGGAGCATCTGCAGTTAAACAATTTTTTTTAAAAGTGGGCGTGGTCCCGCCTCTAATTTAATGTGCATATCTCCTAAACCGCTAATGTTATAATAACAAAATTCACTGGAAGCAAATGTTTTCAGAACCTCTACCTACAGTGTGAAAATAGTTGAAATCGGGTGGCACTCCGCCCACTCCCCATATAACGGTACTGGTAAAAACTACTAATAGCGGGATAAATCAAGCACTAAACACGCCAGAGACATTAAATTTTATCTCTGGGATGGTATGAGATGACTTTATAGGAACCGCGTTCAAATTTAGACAGTGGGCGTAGCACAGCCCACTTTTAGGTGAAAACCCATATCTTGAGATCTGCCTAACCAATTTCAACAAAACATAACGTTATTTTCATATTTCTATGTTATATTGCGAAAATGGGCTAAATCGGACTACAACCACGCCTATTTCCCATATAACACCATTTTCAATTCCATCTGATTCTTTCACTTTCCACTATGCATATCAAGCAACAATGATTATATCGGGGTAAAACTTTGCGTGAATAATACGTTTAATGTATGCCACGTTGTGACCAAAAATTGTCTTAATCGAACCAAAACTGTTCAAGCCCCTAGTACTAAATATGTTGACCCCAGTGCCTATAGTTGACCTTCTACCGAAAATATCAGCCAATCCACATATCAGCCCTTCCTTACTTGTTTATATAAAAATTTTTGGATCAAAATTTTTTAATCTCTTTGTTAGGATAAAAAATTAAATTTTTTCCTATGTAAGGATTAAAAAGTAAATTTTAATTTCTTAACCTAAGATGTTTGGGATTAAAAATTTAAAATATTATTTTCTGATTTGAAAGAACGCGAAAAAATGTTATTTCTAAAACAAATTATTTTTTAATTCTTAGTTATAGGCTTGCAATTAAAATTTTTCTTTTTTATTTTTCAGTCCGGTAGTTATTTTTAATTTTTAATCCGGTTTTTTGGGTGAAAATTTTTTTATATTTTTTAATCCGGTATGTTGGAGTAAAATTGTCTTTTGTACCTGGCAGTTTTTTCCGTATTTGGTATTACAAAATAAGAAAAATTTATTCAAGCGTTAATTTAATTTTTTTAATGCATTATTTGCAACCCTGGTTATCACCACAGCACATCTGGACACATAGAGATATATGTCTTTATTTGAACAGTGCATATGTATATGTACATATTTACTTACAAAATTAAACTATTCTTTTCAAACTATTCGTTTTTCAATGAATCAAGTTATTATGTTTGAAATTCGGGATTCTCCCAGACTTCAGACGCTCATAGAAGCTAAATATGTACATATATGGAGAAACATAGAAGCGAGGAAATAACAGGTATTATTATTTTGTGTGTATATTTGCGACTTAAGGCCCGCACACCTTCTTCAGAGGTTATGACGTATTTATACTTTTTCACATCTGCTGAATATATGTATAATTGCATACTAAATACATATCTGCATATATTATATGTATGTATACATATATTTGAACTTCAAAAAGGTTATTTATCTTTGTCAAAGCAGCATTTCAATATACATATTCCATACAGGCAATATACATACATGAAGTCTAAAATAAACTGAAAAATTTGTATTCGAGCCGACAGTCACAATCACAGCTGAGAAGAGTGGAATCAAAATAACAGTATTACGATGAGAATAAAAATTATACATTAATCAATTAAATCATAATATGGTTTACCAGAAAGATTCATAAACACAATGGAATCTTAACAATGAATTTTGACTAGATCTTCTTACCGTGGAGCATCTGTTACGAGTATTATGACGGGAATTACGAAAACAAGTGAAGAAGGGTTAAGTTCGAGTGTAACCGAACATTTCATACTCTTGCAACTTTTAAGAATCAAAGCCGGGGAAATACCCTTAGGTGTCGCAAAACTATATATTAAGAAATGTAGTTGTGTGTTTTATTACTATATTTTACTTCTTGTCATTGCTCAGGTATACTTGAGGACTTATTTTCAAGTATTTTTATAAATATAAAAGTATAAACATATGTTGCGTAAAATCAGCCGGATGTTCCGAAATCGGAAAAAACAGGTATTCAGGACAATTCTGAATTGGCATAAGAAATCAAAATGGAAAGTCTTGATAATTTCT